GTTTAAAAATAATATGAGGATGTATTTACTGAGAGGGTAGTGGATGCATGGATTAGGCTTCCAGCTGAAGTGGTAGAGGTTAACACAGTGAGGGAGTTTAAGCATGCGTGGGGTAGGCATAAGGCTATCCTAGATATAAGGTAAGGCCAGGGACTAATGAAAGTATTTAGAAAATTGGGCAGACTAGATGGACCGAATGGTTCTTATCTATCGTCACCTTCTATGTTTCTATGTTGTCACTTGCTACTTCAAGTGTGAACTCTGTATATGATCATGATGTCACTTTTTTCTGAATAGCCTACATTCTCTTCATATCTCAAGCCACACTCTCTAAAACATTAACGCCTCTGCTTGTTGATTGTCGTTTTTGATGTTTGGATACAGTAACATCGAAAATGGCAATCTATCATATACTAATAATTAGCATATTGCTGTAAAATCTGAAATTCAAAAATATCTTCCTGATCCCTTTGCAAATTAAGAGTACCTCTTCAATATGATCAACAGTAATCATCATCTCTGATCCAGGGAAAGCAAAAAAATGTTTTGTCCATATTCGAGCATTTAGCATAAACCTCAAATATGCAAGTAAACATTCTGATAATCTAGTGAATATAAAACATAGGAAACGGATTTGCCTTTTTTTGTACATTGGGGGAAAAATGACACAATACATTTTCACTTCCTGTTATTTACTAACGCTGCATCCTGTTGAGTCATTAAGTGCAGGAACTGTACTGTCTTGAAATAGCAAAGTAATTGCGAATATTTCACATGCCAACAATGTTCGTTAACATATTTATGTGCCAAAATAATTTCTTATGTGAGTAGCATCTACTACAGACACAGATTCAGTATAGCTGCTATGATATGGGGAACGGTTAACTCTTTTGCGGATTGCGATTAATCAGTCATCTTTCTTTACCATACTTTGTTTAATCGGTCATCTTTCTTTACCATACTTTTGTCATCTTTCTTTACCATACATTGGTGTATTGGTTTTCCTGGTTAGAGGCAGACTACAAAAATCTCAAGAATTTTAGGTCTTTTTGTATATACCTAATTGTTGATCTAAGTTGGCCTGGAATTTTAATTCTTGTTTCATCTTAATCTACCTTTCGTGCTGCTTCACATTTGTAATATAAAAGTAGGTCACGCAGACTAGAGTGCCAGAGATGGGAATATTCCTCTGGTGAACAGTTCACTGCCCTATTTTCCTGGACGGCAACATTCAGAATGAGACTCGTCTTCATTGGCACTAAACGAATGCCATAGGCACTCTGTTGCAGAAAGATTCATGATAAGTGGAAGTGAAATCTCATATGAATTATTTATGCCAAGTGCAACAGTTAACTCTATATTTTGCAAAGTTGTAATGGTCAACATAAGCTGAAAATGAAATATATACTCTGTAACACATAATGTTATTCTTATGCGTCTCTTCACTAAAGGCCAAAGTGTCTCGCTAGCGCTCTTGAAGTCATAATTTTGTAATATGATAAATATGCTTTGGGATAAAGAGTTTACATTCCCAATAAATGTGTTCGATATAATTAAAACTCAAGAAGCATGAATCAAACTTGAAATAGGTGCAAATACAAGAAAATAAATCAGCTCAATGACTCAAAAAAGGCAGGTGGAAATACGTGCACAATTGCACATGGAATGTTTTGTCATCTCAAATGCTTAAGTTGTGAAACGTGTTAAATGTTATTGTGCACAGCTGCTCCCATGAACCATGCTGTGATATATTAACAAACAGGATAAAATGTGCAGGCATCACATTATGTGGTTTTATGCTAATATCATGAGTGCATCAATGTCATGGAACAGACCAAGAAATGTGACCTCAGATGATCGCAAAATCCAGCCTGACCGTTTGTCATATTTATCAACGATGTGCAGTTAACATGCAATGTGCCTGCCCTTAAAGGTAATGAAGGAGTGCTAACTCTGTTCTGTAAGTACTAGGAGTGACAAATGCTCCTTCCCACGAACATTTGCTACAAACTCCTGGAGGAGTGTGGAAGCTGGCCTCCTGCCCACCGACTATGGTCCAGGTCGGAGACCCCATTCAGGAGTTACCCTGCCCAGCCGTCATTAGCAGCTTTCCCTCGGTGCCCCTGCTCCTGGTTCAACACTTTCCCTTCATTCAAATGGAATAAACGCTAGCTACCAGGCAGCCGTCTGCATGAACCAAACCACGAATGGTCCTCAGCGGTACTTAGCCGCAACCGCTATGGAACTAATTTTGGCATGAGGACTTGTGGTTTCCCGGTCACCTCAGCGGTACTTAGCCATGAATGTTATGGAACTGTTTTTGGCATTAGGTGACCTTGCGGTTCCCATACAACTTTGTCCTGGGTTTTGAACCACTTTTCAACCCACCAGGAGAGCGCTTTTGGGAAGGAAGCTGTCTGAGACAAAGGGGAACAAATGTGCTCTGAGAGCCAGGAGGAGCACCCCGTATTGCTCTCGAAAGTTGCAAAAGCACCAAACGACTTGGAACAATTTTGGGCTAGGACCACGTGTGCAGCCCACGTGGCATTTCTCCTACACTGCATGGATCTAAGCGCTTTTTGGACAACTTGGGCGCTTAGATCAGGGTTATTTGGGGATGTAGGACATGTGGGGTTAATGTTTGTTCTTATTATGCTTGGGGTACTTTTATGTTTTTATGTTTTGTGTTGGGCTCTCTGTTCCTGGGAGATAATTAGCTTGCCGGTCTTTAACTCAATTATTTCCCAGGCCCAGAGATTCCTGGGAGGGGCTTGCATTGTATTGTTTTGAGACCTGCTATTGCGGTCTGTGCATAAAAGTTTGGCTCATTAAAGTCAGTTGTACTCCCAGAACTATGTGTCGTCTAGTTACTGGGTGGGGAAAGGACTAATCACTGCTCAGCATTTTGTTCCAGCTCGTGGAGGATTCAGCGGGTTAAGTCCTTGTAAGGACTAGAGCTCCCAGGACTGTGTGTTGTCCAGTCTCTGGGAGGGAATAGAGCTAGTCCTGTATCCAGTTCCAGGACGGAGAAGCAGCCAGGAGGACCCCAGTCAAGCCATGGCAACTGGGGTAGAAGTGCAGAGGTTTTCCCCGGTTCCAGCTAGTAAACGATCTTCGGTGGAGGTGCCCAGCCGGGGTACAGGGAGCTCTGCTACACTATTCTATAAGATTAATAGGTTAAAAGAGAATATTCAATTCCCGGGATATATAATATCATATATACTTATTCTGATACTGAAAAAAATATGGATTTGTTAAGTGTGAAAAATATGAATAACTTAGAGAATTTATCACTTCTAAACTGCAAATGGGTGCCTCCATCTTAGCTCCCTGTTAATCATAGTTATAAGCTCTGTCCTTTGCACCAAAAGAAAACATACAGAGAAGCAGAAAAATTAAACAATGTCTCAATTTTTCCTCCTCATTTTCAGTCTTTGAAAAGAATACAGAGCATCTCTTGAAGAAGGTTAACACAAGTTCTAAGTGATTTTCAAGGTTCCACTTAACAGTGACAGTTTTGTTTAGATGAAACATGTTTATTTAATTAACTGAATTCGACTAGAAGTTTTTAAATTTTTTATTTTCTGATTATGCAATGAATAACCACTTGATTCCCATTTATTTTAGAATGTGGTTGCAGTTATACCAGGAGAACAGAAGAATATCTGGTATGTGTGCTAAACACAGCCCAAATTTCCAAGGTTGAAAAAAATCTCCAGTTTATGCTGAATTTTCTATCCCAATTTTTGACAGTAGCCCACTCACAAAACTCCCTGTATAATGAATAAACCTCTAGGTTTGTGAGCACATTCTGGAGAGTCTGAAGAACTATTTCTTGAGAATACAAGGTTTGTAGCTGCAGGCATGCATCAAACTAGGGTTTCATTCTTAATCCTCAGGAAAGGACTTAATTCAAAGAGAAAACTACTGTCTCAATACACTCTGATAGCTCTAGTTATTGTGATGGCTCTATCCATCATTTATTACAAACTCACCATATGAACATGGACATTAAATTATTTTCTATTGCAATAATTCAATTGACTATGGTTCCTTATAGTAAAGAAACAAGCAAGGGATTACACAAATCCATTGCTTCATAACCTGAATATACCAATGTGCACATCAAATGTTTTTCTTTTTATAAAAAAACAAAATATTTATTCAATACCAAATCATATGGTATACATGTTTTAATAAAAAAAACCTAAATTAAAATAAATAAAAATACATTTAGAGGATAAAAACAATCTTTATTGTAATATACCACTATATCTAGTGTGTGTTGTGTATTACAAGAAAGATTGTTTTCACAAACCAAATTTATTTTAATTTATATTAATTATTTTTATTTTATCCTGCATTTATCCTAAGTAAACTCTTCATGGCCTACATATATCCTGGGTGGGGATAATACCACCCATGCTGATATCACTGAAAATATGGTGCTCTTAAACGCATAAGTAGATTTAATTCTGAATTTACGCTATTATTACCATGTGAGCACTATATTTGTTATATTAATTTCATATGCACTGTGAATATCTAAAACGGATGTCTTTAGACATATCTGGGAGCGGGGATTATACCGCTCAGAGCCTTGTGTAAGAGCTGATTGGAGGCTCTCTCCTTGTGAGTGTATTTCATCTTTACATAATCTATGACATTGTATATATTGGATTACACTATTTTTGATTTCTGTTGTTTATATTTCATATGAGACATCATATTGACTAAAGATCTGACCACTTATTCATCAAGGAGGATAATACATTGACCTCCAAAGTACTACTTCCAGCAGGTTTCATATTGTTACCTCAAAGACTTTCTCTTCGGAACATTCATTATATTCCATTTTGAGTTATCTGACTCAAGTGTACAAATTGGCAATACTGTATGTCTATATATATGCAGACAGAGGTCAATACCTTATTTGAAAGAGGAGCACAGGCAGAGGGGTCAGTAGTCTTCTCCATAATATGGATACCAAATAGTCAAATATGAGTGTATATATTGGCAATACTGTATGTCTATTGGCAATACTGTATGTCTATATATGTATATATATATATATAGACATACAGTCTATATATAGACATACAGTATTGCCAATTTGTACACTTGAGTCAGATATATATATATATATATATATATATATATATATACACTCATATTTGACTATTTGGTATCCATATTAATATATGGAGAAGAATACTGACCCCTCTGCCTGTACTCCTCTTTCAAAGAAGGTATTGACCTCTGTCTGCATTCCTCTTTCCAGGAAGGTATTGACCCCTCTGCCTGCTTTCCTATTTCCTGAAAGGTATCAACCCTTCTGCCTGCGTTCCTCTTTTAAGGAAGGTACCGACTCCTCTGCCTGCGTTCCTCTTTCCAAGAAGGTATCGATCCCTGTGCCTGTGTTCTTCTTTCCAGGAAGCAGTGGTGTATTTAGGATTTGTGCTGTCCTAGGCAGGACGGTGCTCGGTCCCCCCCCCCCGATTTAAATTTTACCCACCCCTTCCAGTCAAGGCCGCACTTTGACTGACAGACTCACACATTCACTGATAGATGCATACACTCATTGACTCATTGACAGACAAACACTCTCATATACGCTGACAAACAATGACAAACACACACACACTCACTGGTTTGAAACCCTGATAGACAGACACACTATTACTCGGACACACACTGACAGGCGCCCACTCTCACTGACAGATACACACACACACACACTTAGACACACTTACACACACACACACATACATACAAACACACTCATAGACACTCACACTCATAGACACACACACACATTCACTCACAGACACAGATATACACATTCATTCACTCACACACACACGCACACACACAGACATTTCCCCCAACACACAAATTATTATTATTATTTTTTTATTTTAAAGCCACCCAGCCTCCCTGGAAGAGCTGGAGTGGATTACTTACCTGTCAAGTAGGGCTGCTGGGCAGACAGGCAGGGGGCGGAAAGGCAGAGAAGGCGGCGAATGAGCTTTAATCTTCCTGCTCAACTCTCTTGCGCCGCTTAGTGATGCCAGGAGCCGGTCTGACGTCATATTCTGGCTCCCGGCTTCATCAAGCAGCGCGCGAGGGAGCTGGGCAGGAAGAGCTCAGGTGAGTATGCTCCCTCGCTGCCCGCCACCAGCCTGGGGGGGGGGGGTTCAAAAGTGGTGAGCCCCCAGGACATAAGGCAAGCAAGGGATCTGCCTGGGCATTTGGGGGCGGCTTTTTTGGCCGCCCCCTGCAAAGTGCCATCCAAGGCAGATGCCTTGTTTGCTTTGTGTAAGATACATCTCTTTCCAGAAAGGTATCGTCCCCTGTGCCTGCGTTCCTCTTTCCATCTTTCATCTTATTTGTGATTTACAAAATACTAGCTTCAAGAAACTCATCTCTGAGATGAATCTTCCTATTCTCTAGTGCCAGGGATAATTACTTTAATAAATAGGATTTTTGGGACTCCTGCCTACTACCATAATGGAAAATCTAATCTGCGGTAGTGATTTGCTGGGGTACAGATGCACTGTGTTAATGACATAGATCATAAGCATATGGCAAAACACCTTCGGACCAAATGGTCCAGAATACTCTGACCTGCAATTAATTTTTCTGGCAGGGAGCAGACCGGCTCAGCCCACACATTTCAGGCAAACTTAAATACTCCCAAAAGATGCAGGAGTTCGAGGCATCCTGTTGAGCTTTAATATACATATACTCTGAAACGGCAAATCCTTCCTAGCAAGAATTACATATCTTGAATAGAAACATGAATATAGGTCATCAGCATTTTGTCTGAAATCAGAGATGATTGAGCTGCGTACATGCATCTATTCTCCAAATTATTTTGTGGGCAGAACAGCTTAAGTTCAGAATGTTCACATGTTGAACAGCATTTTGCTCCCCTCACCCTCTTCCACTAGTTCCACAGAGCACACAAAGATATTTATTAATAATTGTAATATAGCCAGACCAGAATACATATTAGATTTTCACTTTTAACTATTTATTTGAGATATATATATATATTTATATATATATATGAAACAAGATCTTGTGTGAGATGATATATATCTATATCTAAAAGTGGTTCTTTTCTCAGTGTCTAAGATTTAAATAAATTCTATTTATTTTATGGTTTTATATTGTGTTTGTCTTTCTTTCTGTCTGTCTGTCAATTTGTTTGTCTATCAATCTGTCTGTCCGTCGTGTGTCTGTCTGTCTGTATATCCATCCCAGCGCTAACTAAGTGCTACCAAATGCAATACTTGGCATTGCAATAAGAGCTCTGTGTGGGCATTTGAGTGCACAATTGTGTAGCCTTCGGTACTGGTAATTACCTTGGGTATACAGGTTTTGCTACTCTATTGCACCTCTAGGAAAAAAAATAGGTCCGGCCTCAGCAAGAAAGGGATATAAGCTAAAATTGATGTTGACAGCCAGAAAAAGGAGGGTTAAATCCAGAGAAAGGTATGGAGCTAGATGGAATGTGGTGCAAGGGGAAGGTTAAATATGTCAGCGAGGGATAGAAATATATAGCGGTATAGGAGGAAATATGAGCTGAAGGGCTATGTAGGTATAATAATAATGTAATTATAGGAGGAAATAATATTGTCTGGCGAAAAAATAACAATAAGGAAGGATAAAAGCATATAACAAATACATAATGGTACGTGCCAGTAACAATACTGATATATTAAAAATATTAAAGACACACACAAAGATACATAGAGAAAAACACTGCTAGACACACACATTTCAAGACATACACTGCTGTACACAGATACTCATTGCCATACACACAGACACATTGCTAAACCCATACACTGCCACACACTGCTACACACAGAGAAATAATTGTGTAGTTCAGTGTATTTTAGACACCCTACTGTTTATACAAGCCCCTGAGGTCCAGTGAGAGCAGGCTGATGCAGGTTACAGTGTTCCTTCTGCCCCTAACATGACTCTGTTTGTGCTAGGAGGACGTGACCTGTATTCACCTCTAACTGGTCCCAGCAATGCTGAATGAAGTAGCTGCCGAATCCAAGTTGTCCTGTCAGAGACACGGTCCAGTGCAACTTGTCAACACTGGTTTACCTCCCATCACAGAATTAAAAGGCCAAAAGCAGGTGCGGTGCTCAACTGGGCCCCGGAACAGAGTAAAGACTTTCATACCCTGATGGGGGAACTGGGCTAGCATATGGCATAATGGGAAATATAATCCAGACAACAGTTGTGGTGCAGTTTGGCACCTCTAGAGTTAAATAATATGTGGCGGAACAAGGAGATACAGCATGAAGTTTAACCCCTTAGGGACAAATGATGGAAATATTCCGTCATGATTCCCTTTTATTCCAGAAGTTGTGTCCTTAAGGGGTTAAGATGTGAGTCAGTGAAAAAAATGGGCATTGGTGTGAGATTTTGTAAAAAAAAATACGAAATGAAGAGAGTAACGATTAAAGTAAAAATATTCAAAATTTAGCAGGGATGTTCAGAATGGCAAGGTAGTAATATTCCAGGGAGGCAAGGGAGGAACCTACGAAATATGAGTGGGGAGCAGAAAGGCTTTTCATTCTGTCCGACACTGTCCTAGTGAAGACAGTAGGTTTTAAATCAGAGACAAAAATGTCTCTTAAGTTCACTACGACAAGTTACGTATTACCGGAATGTCAATTCCCACTTTGTTTTTTTTTTTGTACAAAGTCCCATACTAACCTGCCCTATAAATTAGAGAAATCAAAGAGGAGATTAATTTGTAAACAACTGCTGAAAGCAATTCTGCATCTCACCGTCTCAGCTCAACGTTCTGACTCGCTCTGCATTGCAGTCAGCTATTGCCGTGGTTGGAGGTGGCACAGAAAGGTGAAGATACAAACGGTGCTCCCTTAACTCTGTTGTAAGAGCCTATCAAACTTTGAAAGTTGCAGAACAGGCTGTTAATTAATATCAGAGCTCGCAGGAAAGAGACAGAGAGAGGCAGAGATTGGGGATGCTAACTTTTTTCCCAGTGTTATGCAGAGAGTCAGTGGAAAGCCGTATCGCTAGGTAACCAACATGTAGCTCACTGTTCTGAAGATTAACTCCATTAAGGCTTTACTAGACATATATCAACTATAAACAAATTGTTTCTGTTTTAGTAATGCATCCATTTATGTAAGTATTATCATTAGCACCGACAGAGACATTATGTTTATAAAAGTAAACAATAATAATCATTGCCAAGTACTGTATTGGTAAAGTAATATCGTTGTAAATATATTATCCAATTTACAAGATAAAACTAAATCGATATATCTGTTGCGGAAGGTGAACTTCTGCTTTAGATATAATAGAAGAGGATGCTGGACTCTTACCCGGGGGACTCCTGCTGTGCTCTAGTGGTTATGGTTTCTGGTCTGACGCCTTAATGAATAAAAACCAATTTACGTCATAGAGGTAATGGTTTTTTCTTCAAATTATGGCCTCGATTTAAAATTTCTGGACGAGATTTTCAAATGATTTAATATTTCTGGGGTAATTTTCAAATATATATTTTTTTCAAAATATGAAATTATCAAAAATATATCACATATAGAAAATATATCAATAGATAAAAATGTTACATAATTTGATAAGCTTATCCAAAAGTCTTAAATTGAAGCATATAATTGTATAGCATAGTATCGTAAGGCCTTTGACAAGGCTTAATGATCTCCTTAGTATACTGAGTAATAAGAATGTTTTCCTTGCACATACCTGATCTATAATACATGAATTTGACACATACGCATACTAACTTGCATATATAAAGGTATTTGGGGACAGAGAACTTGCATTTGTAGTGCTGTTGGCCAAAACAGACGTAGGAAGTAGCAGCAGAGCAATAGGGAGAAGTAAGTTTGGGGATCACCTAGAACCACAGCAGTTGTAAAAGCCTACAGGTAAGAAAAAAAAAACATAAAAAAAATTAAACAACCTTATCCTCAATCCCGTATGTCTATATAGAAGAACAAATAAAAATGAAAGAATGAATGGAACTGTGAAGGTCAGATTTAAAAAAAAGAATAATAATAACTCAGAGTAGACTGGGAAAAGCAAGTCCACTGGAAGAGAATG